ATAAGGCCGTGTCAAATTACATACGAGGCCGTAATTGTGGCTGCAGCTACTTTTCATAAAGTTGTGTGTGGTTACAAGCCGAAGCCAAGTCCATTACTCCGGACAATAGGTCTGTGCCTAACTTTCCATGCCAACACGTCGTATACCATTTTTTACTTTTGTTTGTTGTCCCTGTGAGGGTAGAGTTCTTACTGCGAAAGGGCAAGGGCCCCAAGTAATACATATACACTGTTAGAACACCCATGACAGCATTGAATAAGAGGCGCTATATTTCGACGTGGGCGATGCGTCGAAATATTAATCGCAGTGGAGCCTGGTTCGTCCATTGTCGGGTTTCCGATCCACAGCCATTGTTTTGAAAGCCCCTTTTCCTTGTAAATTCCAAATGCCATAATTTTGTGTCATTTCGTACCGTCTGTATATAAACATCAGTTGAACGCTCACTTTCTGTGCTCGACGTCGGTAGAAAAATTGATATTCACTTTATGCGTAAATCACATCCACCATGCGGCGTGGCGAACAAAGCCATTAGGCCTAGTCTTTCCATTAAATTAAGAACGTGGCTCAGGATTGGTTGAGTCTACACAATGGAATCAGAATGTAGGTACGTCACCGGGCACATTCAGTCAAGATAACCATGTCTAGAGTATCAAAGATTGGGATTCCCCGTACCAATCGCAACACTGTCCAGTCAAGCCAAGCCTAGCCTGGGATTTCCTTCAACCAATGAGCAAGGCAGAAAAGAGACACTTAAATATTGAAATGCACAGACATGTCAACATAATGATCAAACGTCTCGACAGTATCGGCTGCAATACAGATAAAGGTCGAGTAGTCCCCTGCATAGATAAAAGCATAGTCCATTTTTCTCATATACATTTTCTTCTCAGTTGCCGAAAATGTGGCAGCAGCAAATTACTTGCAACGGGAGCAGGACTGTTTACAAATCTATGAAGCCAGAGGTATGTTCTTATTACAAAAAAAATCTCTTTTCACATATGATAGGTTTTCTTGACCAATTTCATGAACTAATCGTCCAATCTGATGCGAGGTCCATTCAAATTCATTATAATTGAATGCTACTTTATGTCCACATCATAGAGGTCATGCAAATTCATTGTTCAAGTACTCCTTCATTAAATGACTTTGTTGATTCAAATTCAAATTGTTGATTCAAAGTTGTTTGAAGACTTCGGGAGAGGTGCGCGAGAATTCTATTTAATGAACTAGCAAACAAGTTCGACATGATTCCGTTCAAATTCGTCTATGTGACACATTACGCATCCTGATTCATTATTTGCAATGATCAAAGAGGATTTTCTTGGAGTGGAAAAAACAGAAATAGTTATGAATACTAAGGGGGAGGCAAGCACAACCTATGTTGTCATGTTAGAACAATTAAAATCATTCGTTGCCTTGGGCCTAATGTTTCCAGTTGCGTATATGAGCCCCGAGCTGGACCAAAAGGGGGCGCAATTTTCCATGCAACGAGGACCCCTCTGATAGGAACTGCACTTCGTTGGTTTACAAACGACTAGGAAATGCACGAGTTACGGTCGCATCGCTACCAACAAAATGAGCACTCCCGACCAAAATGGCTCTTTTCAACCGATGAGGGGGTGCTTCAGCTCGAGGCGGATTACATCACATGTCAGTGCATTTTCCATGAAGGAAGAGAAATGTACATAAATCGCAGCCAAAGAAACCAAGTTTGTTTTTATGCTGGAACGACGGTCGTGATTGATAATATTTCTATTTTTGTTAACTTTTGCTTTTCATTTTGAATAATCAGAATTCTAGACGAAAAGAAAGAACGCAAAATAATTATACGCGCAATCACAAGAAAAGATAACCTGTATCGATTCCATATGAAGTCAACTTGAGACAGCCTATTTACACAAAACACTGTCACAATAAGAGATTCTGTACAAGCAAAAAGTGTTTGTGGATGTATATCATTAACCCTATCCCTTCAGGCTCTTAAAGAGCATTTAAGATGAAACAAACACCTACTCAATTGAGCCATACAGATGCATGGCATTTGAATTGAACGCTTGAAGTTTGAAATAAATTGTTTATACACGAAAATGGAAACAACGCAAAAGATTTAAAATCCTTTGCGTTTCGGTTTATCTTGACTTGATCGCACCAAGTCGTATAAGTCGGTAAAATTTAACCAATAAGAGTGGTGAAAATGCCTATCGAAATAGACTGACCAAAACACGAACTTGTTCATAGGAAAACGAAAATGAATGCGACAGTTGTGAAAAGGAGACCCTAGTGTGAACAAGATTGAGCATCATGCACGACTGTGAACGTGTGGTGATGAAACTGAACTGTAAGTTCCTTTTTTTCTGAAATTGGCTGGGAAATATATTCATTCGGACAACGGTGAACTGACTTCCAACAAGCGTTCATAACAAATGAACCTTAACAGGCATCAAAACAAACCACTCCAATAAGCCAGGGCTAAGTTTTGTTACCGGACCAAAGGATTCCGACTACAGGGGGAATGATATTGCCACGTAATTATCGTTCATCTGGGTCCCTACGTAGTCGCCACGGACAACGTGACAAAGACGGGAGAAATTCGACAAGGATTGTTCATAGTATTGGGTATAAACGAAACATGATTGAATTATTAAGGACCTATATGCATAATTGAGAATAAATAAATTGCTAATATAGAGGCCACGTATGATATGGCAATATTTCGGTGCTCCCAAAAGACCACTCAGAAAGAAATATTTAGAAAGGGGGTTGCTTGTGCATAGTCTAGTATTGTGTATGATTGAAGTAAGGATCGCTGCACAATTAAGACAATGCGGCCCGGAATAAACTAACTGATACACAGACTATATGGGCCACGTTAATCAATATTTCGGTGGTCAATACAACCCTATCAGACACACAGAGCACTTGAAATCTTTGGGATTGAAATTTGTCTTCAGCTTTCATCAGCTCTTATAAAAATGTCCCGAGCAAAACAAACATGACCACGTCAATGGCGAGTTCGGGGACACGAAGACTACACTTAAATCAACATGACGGCTGGCCTAAAGTGTCAATGTTGACAGCACGTTAATAATTATGTATACTGTTGGGTGGCATTGGTGAATCCTGTCTCAAAGAGGTCACAGACTTTAAAAAAAAAAGAGAAAGGTTTGTTGATGTTGCAAACTTAAGTATACAGGACTCAAAACTGAAAGGAAAACTAAAAGGTTGCCGGTAGCAATGCTGTCAATTTTTGACCTGCTGTTTGTTTTGAATGAAATACGAATTCAAATTGTTCGAGTCCAAGGTTCACTCGCGACTTGATAATTTGTGTACATAACGAGTGAGCGCACTGCACTTCAGTATTTGGCCCAAATAACGCAGTCATTAATGTGGTAATTCGTAACCGATTCTTTGTTCTCGCCAACAGAGATACTCGGCATACATACACAGTCTTCATCATCACATTGGAAGAGAGGTTGAACGAAATCGGCTGTCTTTGGTGACTCCAACCCATGCATGAAATTTATGACTGAAGTGAACTTGTTTGTCCTAGACAGACGACTTATTATCAACAAACCAGACACATGACAAAGGCATCAAACTATACAGGGAAATGAAGTCTGGGATCACATGACAAATATAATCGAGACTTCGGGGGCGCCCCGAGATTTGGAGCTCAAACACTACGAATTTGGAGCCGTTTGTTCTAAAGTGAAATTTAGGAACAGAATTATCGTGGCGTGTACGCACGTGCTTCATTCGGGGAGGTCAGCAGTCATGTCCCAAACGTATACTTCGAGGCTTTGTTGCTAGCTACTTACACACAGGCCGACTGTTGCCCGCCATAGCAACAAAAAGCTTAAAGTGTGTTGAGACAAATTTACATCTGAATGAGGCCTCACGATCGATTGACAAGTAAGCGTTTGGGCTGATATTTACATAACACTGGGCAACCTTGCGGTCCCGTATAGCGACCCACTGCTGCCCGATGTTAGGCCAATCCATACTGTTATCTGAATCGTGGTTTTTGGTTTGACATTGTTACCGTAACCTGTCACGAAAAAACAATCTGGGCCAAACAAACTTTAGATGTGTAAAGACTATGATGTTGAATTCTTCATACGTCGAGACAGTTCGTACGTAGACTTTCTGTAATAATATTATGCACTGCAAATAAAATTATTGATTATGCATAATACAAGGACGAAGTTGATGTAGTCCTCGTGTGCCAACATGATTAAAGTGGGTTTGAGTTGCACACTAATGAGGCATATGCGGCAGCAGGCGAAATCCTTTGAAAAACAACCAACCCAACCATGAAATTACCCCAAAAAACACCACCATACATCAAGGTCAATGTGCACACCAAATACGCGGAAAAAGCCATGTTTTGTCAGCCGCAAAATTAACCACTAGATCCGTATGCATTTTCAAAAACCACCAATGATAACTGTTCTACAAAATCTGAAAAGGAACAACACTTGTGTTATTTTGCCAGGCCATCCAGTCAGACAAAAATGCATCATCGTCTTGACAAATCACCGCATGAATAATGCGAAGGGTTATCCATTCCATTTGGGAACTCAAAACCGACCTTTTTTCCACCGGGCCGGGGGTGAAAAACATCACAGTGCATGAGATGTGTGGAAAATACCAGGTCACGATGGCCCGACAATGGAGGAATCGAGTAACGCACTTAGTCACGCCTGCCCGGCCCACGTACTTCAAGAATGACGATTTTGCAATGATACACTACACGCATAACGAAACCTTGTGACATGACCAGTGCATCCTGTCATGTTTTATTTTTTTATTAGCTGTAGGGGTCGAAACCAAACCCCCAATAGCCATCCTGGAAGGGAACGGTCGGAGAGATGGACAATTTTTTTGGACGGAGACAATGTCGAGTCAGAGAAGGCGGGAGGAGAAAGTTGGACGTCAAATCCAGGGCTGGGGGGCAGGTGCATTGATCATTGAGATATATAAATTCCCGTTATACATACCCATTCTGTCCGTCCTTATACGGATCGTCTTCTTGCTCAGCTTCGCTGTAGTTCTCGAAGACTCTGTATTTGTACGGATTGGGAGCACCACGGCTATCCGCCGAGCGTTTGGCATCCCGCGTTCTGCCGCCTCGAGGAGGCGAGGTTCGGGGCGGGCCGCCGTGGTTCCCTCCCCGGAGCGTCACGAAGATCATCAAGATCAGAAAACAGGACAGAAAATACAGGAAAGTCCTTCGTCTCCCCCTCAGCATGGTTGGCTGACCCGGGTGGGAGTCTGCAGTTGGCGGAATGTGGAAGAAACTTCTCTTCTCATGAACTCGGCTGATGGAGAGGACGTGCCGCTGGTTTCACAATGTACAGTACATGTACAGTGTACAGTGTATATCAATACAATGTACTGTACAGTACACTGGACTTTCAACCACGATGGTAATTCCTATGGCTCTGTGCAGGGCTATTGTGCATGTGGGCTGCTCTCTTTTGTTAACACTGTTCGAAACAAACCGCAGTCCTCATGGCTGGCAGTGGGTGTCGGAAATGCTTCAAACACTCCACGAGTCGCTTACTAGTACACGGAGGCCCGAGAATGTGAAAAAAGGGCGCAGTGAACCGTGGCCGGCCCGCAGAGCTAACACTTGCTTCGCTTAGGTACTGTATCTTCAAAAGCCACTGGATGCGGCCAGGATAGCAACGTGCGCAACAATATTGGGAGTGGGTCTAGCCGCTTACCAGTGGCATCCATGGGTGCACATGTTGTTGCTAGCCGTAGCCAAGTAATTTGGACGCGGCCGCAAGGAGGGCGCCGAGTTAGGGCGCGTCCACGGTTCCTTTATTGCAATTTACATCCTTATGCATTATGCATGTGTAATATTATAGCAGGTGTGGTGTCACAACCGGTGGAAGCTAAACTTATGATGAATTATGCCTACGTCACCTGCTTGGGGAGGGGAGGAATTTCAA